AAAAAAAGTTTAAAAAAATTAAAAATATATGCATGCACTCTCTCAGCCCCCGAAAAGCCATGGCAAAACCCCTTTGGAGATTTTGCCAAGAAAACCCCAAGAACAAGTAATAACAACAATAATCAATATAATTATGGTGGGCGGTGGTGGCGGCGGCAGGACTGGCTTGGGGCCGGTCCAAAAGCCTCGGGGAGCTGCATCCGCCCCTCCCCTCCGCCCCCGATGCTTAGGTTGCCTACCCCTGTGTTAGGCCTTTGTTGAAAAAGCCATCCCTGAATCCCTCTAAAATTGATAATTATGAGTCAGTGTCTAGCATACCATTCTTGAACAAGGTATGGGAACATGTGGCAGCCTACCAGCTCCAGGGGTTCTTGGATGAAATAGATTACCTAGACCCATTTCAGTCTGGTTTCAGGCCAGAAAAGAGACAGCTTTGGTCACCTTGGTGGATGATCTACAAGACAGCGGCACTCCTGGTCAGTCAAGAGGCAATGAATAGGGATTCAGCCTGTGTTACACGGGGTTATATGTGTGTATGCACCTTCAAGTCATCTGTTGACTTATGGTTTATACTTCCCCTGAAGATGTAGTTTTGCAGTCTGGGTGACTCTGAACTTGAAGAGCCAGGTTTCTGCAGTGGCTAGGAGTCCTTTCGCACATTTAAAGTTTGTGTGGCAAACGTGCCTGTTCCTTCAGACACTGGATCTGGCCAGGGTGGTGCATGCCTTAGTTACATCCTTTTTGGACTACTGTAGTGTGCTCTGCATGGGGTTGCATTTGAAGAGTGTTCAGAAACTTCAGCTAGTACAAAGAAATGCAGTCAGAGTGTTAACTTGGGCAGGTTAAAGAGACCATACTACATCCATCTCACAATAGCTCCACATGCTGCCAGTTTGTTTCCAGGCACAAGTAAAAGTACTGGTTATGACCAATAAAGTCCTATATAGTCCAAGCAAACTGGCAGACTAGATCTTCCTGTATAAGCCTGCCAGGGTACTGAGAGCTTTGGGAGAGGCCCTTCTCTCACTTGCATGAGAGTCACAAGCATGGTTCATGGGGATGTGAGACAGGGCCTCCTCAGGGGCCAAGGGACTTCAGCTCCCAGAAGCCTCAGCCATGTTGGCCAATAGTCCCATGTTGGCCAATAGCTCCTGGGATTCTGGGAGCTGAAGTCCCTCGGCCCTTAAAGGGGAAAGGTTGCCTACCCCTGGTGTTGTCCTTCTATCAGCAGGTAAAACCCTTTTTATTCTGACAGGTTTTTGAACAGAAAGTTTTAAAAGAATGGACTAAGAGTGCTATATTGTTTTAAACTGAGTTGTTTTTAACAGCTTTCTATCTTTTTAATTGCATTTATTTTCCATTAAAGTGTAGGTTTGAATTGTTTTAAGACTGTGAATAATGTAATTGCATTTTGATATTCACTGTTTGTATGTTTTTAGCTACATTGCTCTTTTTTTAAAAAAAAAGTGTAAGCTGACTCGAGTCCCAATTTTGGGAGAAAGATGGGATACAAATAAATATAACAATAACAGCAGCAGCACCAAATCATTTTAAAAGATTGTTATTAAAACAATAGCGACTTGGTCTAAGGACTTTATTATGGGGGGGGAAATCAGGGTGGAAATCGAGGGGTTTAAACAGCCATTATTCTATTAAAATTGTGTGATTGTGGGAAGATTTCCACACACATCACAATTAAAGAGCGATTATCCTGGGAATAACCAGGCAATACAGCAACAAATCATTCATGGGATTTCTCCGTGAATGATTTGTTCCTGTTTATTGTCTGGTTATTCCTGAGATAATCGCTCTTTAATCGCGACATTGTGTGAAAATCTTTATCGCAATCATGTGATTTTTAACAGGATAATTGCTCTTTAAACCCCTGATTTTCCCTTTGTGATAAAGTCCTAAGTTTATTCAGATAGCTTCATGGCTGAAGGAGGATTTAATTCAGAACTCCACAGTGCAACATACTATCCACTTT